CGTTACTTCCTGTTGGTGGTTGACGACTACTCGCGTTACACCACGGTGTTCCCCTTGCGCAGCAAGGGTGACGTCACTGAGGTGTTGATCGACTGGATCCGCGCAGCTCGTCTCCAGCTCAGAGAGAGTTTCGGCTCGGACTTTCCTGTTCTGCGTCTGCACTCTGACAGAGGCGGGGAGTTTTCCTCTGCCCTTCTGGGAGCCTTCTGTCGTGCATAGGGCATCCGCCAGACCTTCACGCTTCCGGCCTCTCCACAGCAAAATGGGATTGCTGAGCGCCGCATTGGCATGGTCATGGACGTCGCTCGTACGTCCATGATCCATGCGGCTGCTCCCCATTTTCTGTGGCCGTTTGCGGTTCAGTACGCAGCGCATCAGATCAACCTTCAGCCCCGGGTCTCTTTGCCAGAGACCTCCCCCACCTTGCGGTGGACGGGGAAGGTTGGCGATGCGTCTGCGTTTCATGTCTGGGGATCTCGGGCGTTTGTCCGCGACTTGTCTGCGGACAAGCTGTCCCCCCGTGCGGTTCCTTGCGTCTTCCTTGGCTTCCCCCCTGACGCGCCTGGTTGGCAGTTTTACCACCCCACCTCGCGCCGTGTTCTGTCCTCCCAGGACGTCATGTTTGACGAGTCGGTTCCTTACTGCCGTCTCTTCCCCTACCGCACTGCACCCCTCCCCCCGCCGCCGCTCTTCCTTGCACCAGGTCCCCCCCCGGTAGACCCCCTCCCCCCTCAGGGTCCTGCCCCGTCAGGTGTGTCCCAGGTAGACGCAGTCGAGCCTGTCGAGGTAGCTGTTGACTCTGGTACTGCTAGGGGTGCTGAGCCTGGGGGTGCTGAGTCTAGGGGTGCTGAGCCTGGGGGTGCTGAGTCTAGGGGTGCTGGGCCTGGGGGTGCGGAGCCTGGGGGTATGGAGCCTGGGGGTGCTGAGCCTGGGGGTGCGGAGCCTGGGGGTACGAAGCCTGGGGGTGCTGAGCCTGGGGGTGCGGAGCCTGGGGGTGCTGGGTTTGGGGCCCCTTCGGGTGCCTCGTCGAGGCGGGAGCTACCCTCTCCGCAGGAGCTGCGCGAGTGGTTTGCCCGGCGCTGGAGCCGTGCTGCTGGAGCTGGAGGTGCTGCTGTTACTGCTGACCCTGGGGTCGGCACTGGAGTTACTGGAGCCACTGGTCCTGGAGGTGCTCGTACTGGCGGTACTGGAGCTGCTGGGCCTGGGGGTGCTGCTGAGACTGCTGGAGCTGACGGTCCTGCTGGAGCTGGCGCTGCTGGAGCTGGAGCTGTTGGGGGTGTTGGCGCTGGAGGTGCTGCTGGCGCTGGTGCTTCTGAGGGTGCTGGAGTTGGCGCTGTTGGAGCTGGAGGTGCTGCTGGCGCAGGTGCTGCCGCTGGGGCTACTGGTGCTGTCCCTGCTGGTTCTGGAGGCGCTGCGCGGCCGCGGCCGTACTTCATTCCGCTCCTTGAGCAGGTTCTTGGTCTCCCGCCCTCTACTGGTCCTGCTCCTCCCTTAGAGTGTCCACAGCCTGTCCAGTCGCGGTCACAGTTACAGCCCGCCTCCCCCCTACCTGCTCCTTCTCCCTACACTGGTCCTACTGGAGGTCTTGCTGAGCGTCGTGAGCCTGCGTCTCGTCCTGCGTCGCCTGTTCGTGCTGCTCGCACTAGTAGTCGTGCTCCGCGTCCGCGTCCTCCTGCGGTCCCAGGCACACACCAGATGGCACTGCGTCCTTCCACTGCTCCTCTGTGTGTCCCGTTGCCGTCTCCTCCAGAGTCCTCTCTTCCTGTCCTTGCTGACCCGGAGTCTGACTCTCTTCGTGCTGCCAGTCCTACTGTCACGCGTCTCCTGGCTACTGTTGTCACTGACCCTTCCTTTGAGTCCACTGCTGCGTCTGCCCTAGTTGCTGAGCTTGTCGACTTTGCTGCTCGCTGTCGTCTCGACTACTCTGCTAGTCTTGTTGCTGAGTCTGAGTCTGTCTGTCCTCCGTCCGTCGGGGGTGAGTGTGCTCTTAGCACGGACGTCCTTGAGGACAGGCAGGAGGAGTTCCAGTATTTTGCTGCTGCTTTGCCTCATCTCGTGTCCACGCTGATTGCCCCTGAGGGAGACCCGGATGCACCAGACATCCCGACTCCTCGATCGTACGCTGAGGCGATCGAGGGTCCCTACTCCTCACAGTGGCAGTCAGCCATGGACGCAGAGATGGCTTCCTGGAAGTCCACAGGCACCTACGTTGACGAGGTTCCCCCACCTGGGGCGAACATCGTCAGTGGCATGTGGATTTTCAGGGTGAAGCGGCCGCCGGGTTCTCCGCCTGTCTTCAAGGCGCGTTACGTGGCTCGAGGCTTCAGTCAGCGGCAGGGAGTTGACTACTTTCAGACCTTCTCTCCCACCCCGAAGATGACCACTCTTCGGGTGCTGCTGCACATAGCCGCTCAGCGCGACTACGAGCTTCACTCTCTTGACTTCAGCACAGCTTTCCTGCAGGGCAGCCTGCACGAGGAGATCTGGCTGCGCCGCCCACCTGGCTTCACTGGGTCGTTTCCCCCTGGTACCCAGTGGAGCCTCCGGCGGCCAGTCTACGGTCTCCGCCAGGCGCCCCGTGAGTGGCACGACACACTGAGGACTACACTTGCGGCTCTTGGGTTTGCTCCTTCTACTGCCGACCCGTCGCTGTTTCTGCGCACCGACACCTCTTTGCCGCCGTTCTACATCCTCGTGTACGTCGACGACTTGGTCTTTGCCACTGCTGACACTGCTGGACTCGCCCACGTGAAGTCCGAGCTGCAGAAGAGACACACATGCACAGACCTGGGTGAACTGCGCAGCTACCTTGGCTTGCAGATCACCCGGGACAGAGCACAGTGCACCATTACCCTGACTCAGTCACACATGGTGCAGCAGGTCCTTCAGCGCTTCGACTTCACGTACTCCTCGCCTCAGGCCACTCCTCTGTCTACTCGCCACTCGCTCTCAGCTCTGCCTTCGGATGAGTCCGTAGAGCCGAGTGGCCCGTACCCAGAGCTTGTTGGCTGCCTCATGTACCTGATGACCTGCACACAACCTGACCTTGCATACCCTCTTAGCATCTTGGCACGCTATGTTGCTCCTGGGAGACACCGACCAGAGCACATGGCTGCAGCGAAGAGGGTGTTGCGCTACTTGTGCAGTACGTCGGGCATGGGGCTAGTGCTTGGAGGGCGACGTCCAGTGGTCCTCACAGGTCACGCAGACGCTTCTTGGGCTGACGACCAGGCTACGCAGCGGTCGTCACAGGGTTACACCTTCAGCCTTGGTTCCGGCTCTGTTTCGTGGCGGTCTACCCGCTCGTCTTCTGTTCTCGGCTCCAGCTGTGAGGCTGAGATCTACGCGGGGGCCATGGCTGCACAGGAGCTACGCTGGCTCACCTACCTGCTGACTGACCTAGGAGAGCCGCCTCGTTCTCCTCCAGTTCTGTACGTAGACAACAAGGCCATGCTGGCCTTGTGTCGGGAGCACAGACTGGAGCACAGAACGAAGCACATTGCTCTTCGCTACTTCCTTGCTCGTGAGCTGCAGCAGCGTGGTCAGCTGCGCCTTGCTTACGTGGCCTCTGAGGCCAACACTGCTGATATCTTTACCAAGGCACTTCCGCCTTGTGATCATCAGTGCTTCTGTACGATGCTAGGTCTTGTGCCTACTTGGCCTCACTTGCTCACTTCTTGACCTTGCTTGTACTGTGATCTTTCTATACCTGCACTTGCTTGTTTCCCTTCATATATGATCTTGCATGTGAACTGGCCTTTTGGCCTTGAACTTGTGCTCGGACTGTGAGGTGACGTTGTGATCCACCCTGAGCTTGCTTTGCTTTGCTTGACTGGTCTTGTGACCTCTTGTTCTCCCCCACTTTGCCTATGGGGGTGTGTCAAACTTATATGCTATGGTCTATCTAGGCTGTAGTGGGGTAGACACTATAGGGTACAACATTTCTAGGTTTCCTACTTGTACCCACCTGCTTGCTAGTTCATTCATTCCTCATTTCTTCACACGCCGGTGGTGGGGGGGGACGCGTGCAGGATGGGGGGCCGCGCGATGTTGGCACTGGTGACGGCGAGGAGGAACAGGAGGTAAAGAGCGAGAGGAAGCAGCCAAGTGTTGGCCATTGAGAAACCTATTAGTAGATGGTCAGATGTCAGTTGTAGTAAACTTTGTGAGAAAGTAAAAATCAGCGATGCCAGGCTCATCTTGCACGTCAAAGCGAGTAAGAACCAAAGGAGAATTCAAGTATGTTCAGCCACGAGGTGCTTGATATCCTAGATCGAAGGTAGAATGGAGGGAGCGAAGTGAAGTAGAAGCTGTGATAATTGTTGGTCACCAGGAGACGAAGCGTAAACCTTGACATAGCTTGGAGTCGGACTCCACATGAAAGAGGATCACGACTCGCTTGAGCCGCCATGACCCATGACTAGCGTAGGGATTACGCTTGAAACGTGATTGATACGCGAGGGATTGAGATTTTGGGGTCTGACAAGGCGGTCCGGTCGGGACTCGGGAGACTCGGGACGACCAGAGATTGGGGGGAAAGTAGCTACCACTACGGGAATGGCTACTAGGTGTGTGGTGTGGTGAGGCGTGTCTGGGTTGGAAGTGAGCGCGTGCAGCCAGCAGGTTGGTGGAAGTGGTTGCTTCGCTGCAAGTGAGAATCAGCGACAACTGCCAGTCAATCGGCGAAATCGATGAAGATGCCAAGGCACTCTTCGCCGAAGGCGATTCAGGGTAACATGTGCGATGTGAGCGTGATCTACATTCTCAATACAAAAAACGAGATCACTACAGCAATTTACAGAAAATAACTTCCACCTGTTTGAACATGTGAAACACTGTCTATGTGCATGAGGAAAGTCACACTCTCTACAGCCTTATTACAAAGTTGAGCCTGCAACTGGCGTTGCTTTTTAATCAGCACGACAACCCCAAGCCTTTTTGGCAGACTGGGTGCGATCACTCAATCAACAGGGAATCATGACGAGCCAATCTGAAGTCATTTACGCTGCTGCACTTTTCACCTCCTCATCTATAGCAGCGAAGATGGAGAGGTGCCGAGAGTCAATATGCATATCCACCAGCCACACCACCAGACACACCTGCCACAGAGGCAAATGTGGTGTGCAGAATAAAACAAAACAACTGACAATCCAGAGGTTGCCTCTCCTGCAGTGGCTGTGCGTAAGGGTTGCGCGAATCATTGGAAAAGCAATAGCTGTTATGAGATATTATTGAGGATTCATGAGAGCGCACCAGTAGCTGTTATGGCGTGGGCGAGCGGGCAAGCAACCCCTACTGTTCAAGTCACCTTTAAGAACTTCAAAAAAACTTCCAAAAACTCGCAAGGCAGCTCGCAAGGCAGCCCACAGCTCGAAAGGCAGTGCACCTGGAGCTGTTGTGGCGTGGGCGAGCGGGCAAGCAACCCCGACTGCTCCAACTGCTGCTGCACCACCGCCCACTCGCCTCCCCCTGCTGCCCCAAACCCACGTGCCCACGCCTGTCCCTTCCATCCATTCTGCCCTTCCAGCATTGCAGCCCCTATCTGAGCACGCCCCTCATCACTCTCTCCACCAATCACTCCCTCCGTATCCCCACTACCAGTCGTCATCCCCTCTCCCTGCAAGCACCCTGCTGCGTCGCTCTCTGCCGCTTCTTCTCTTGCCGCTGGTGTCTCATGGCCGTCCTCGTGCCGTGATGTGGCTGCATCGCCCCCCGCTTCTGCTGCTCTCAGCCTGCCTCCTCCTGTTTCCGTCCTTCCACCCATGCTCGCTCCTTGTTCCGTGGCAGCAGCACTTGGATCAAGTGCAGCAGCAGTAGTCAGACACTCAGCAGCAACAGCTCTGGGATCAGCCACAGTGGCAGGTGGCGAGCCGCGGCACGGCAGGCACAGTGGAGGGATGTTGAGAGGGAGTTTGATCCGGCTATGGGAGGTGGTGCTTGGAGCGGTGGTGCTCGGAGCGGTGGTGGTGGTGGTGGTGGTGGTGGTGGTGGTGGTGGTGGTGGTGGTGGTGGTGGTGGTGGTGGTGGTGGTGGTGGTGGTGGTGGTGGTGGTGGTGGTGGTGGTGGTGGTGGTGGTGGTGGTGGTGGTGGTGGTGGTGGTGGTGGTGGTGGTGGTGGTGGTGGTGGTGGTGGTGGTGGTGGTGGTGGTGGTGGTGGTGGTGGTGGTGGTGGTGGTGGTGGTGCGTGCAGTGGTGGCTTCAAGGCTGATTGCAGCGTTGAGCGAAGAGACTATGAGCCGCTGGTGGGAGGAACGGAATTCCCAAGAAGGAAGAAGGAATGGGAGAAAGGGTGATATAGTGATGGTACAGTGATACACATACAAATACAAAATCGAGAGTAGAAAAATGGAAGAACTTGATACAAAGAGGCAAGCGAAGACCTTTTCCTGTCACAGGTGCCCGGGCTATTGGAACATGCCTGAAGTATTCCTAAGCTTCTTACTTTGTTGGAACTCCACTGCTTATCTAAGTGTTTGTTTCAATCCTCCTCACCTTGACCAGCAGCTCCTTGTGAAACATAGCTGCCACGTCCACAGCCCACTTCTCTGATGCACATGCGAGGAGGGAGATGTGCAAGGAGGGAGATGTGCGAGGAGGGAGATGTGCGAGGAGGGAGATGTGTGGGGAGGGAGATGTGTGGGGAGGGAGATGTGTGGGGAGGGAGAAGTGTGGGGAGGGAGATGTATGGGGAGGGAGAAGTGTGGGGTCGGAGAGATGGAAATGAGGGATGAGTACGGTTGTCAGCCACGAATCCCTGACTGCATTCAGAATAGCAGACATGGCTGACGGCATGCATGAGGAGGTGAGATGTGCAACGGAGGTGAGATGAGCAACAGGAGGTGAGATGTGCAACGGAGGTGAGATGTGCAACGGAGGTGAGATGTGCAACGGGAGGTTGGATGTGCAACGCGGCTCTTGCATCAGGTGCATGCAGGAGAGGTGACATATCCGGGAGAGGGCAGACGGGCAGTAAAGCAGAGCCGAGGGCTTCAACAGCTGCAGCCTGCGGAGGGGAGGAGAGGGGAGGAGAGGGGAGGAGAGGGGAGGAGAGGGGAGGAGAGGGGAGGAGAGGGGAGGAGAGGGGAGGAGAGGGGAGGAGAGGGGAGGAGAGGGGAGGAGAGGGGAGGAGAGGGTGAGGAAACAGAGGGAAAGGAGAGACGATGGTGGGGGGAATGCATGGGGGGATTGGGAATCCAGATGGAAATGTAAGGTGATAGGAGTACGAGGCGGGGGGCACTAACCAACGTCCCCATCGCTCCCAACGCCCCCATCGCTCCCAACGTCCCCATCGCTCCCAACCCAACTCCCCCATCGCTCCCAACGGCCCCCAGTTATTCTACCAACGGCTTGGCCTGGCTCACTCACTAGTTCAAAATTGGAAGGTGCTGGTTGTCCCACCAATACGCTGGAAGCGCAAAGATATTCCATACCTACTTGAAGATGCCTCGAAACAAGATAGAGGGAGGATTTCTCAAACCTGCTGCAAGCTCACAAGGCTCGACTCCCCCTCTCTTCCTACTCCTCCGCTCGCACCCCGCACCCCCTCACCCCCACACCCTCTCCGTCGACTCACAAGGCCTTTCAAGCAGCGGCGCAGCACACATAGATCCTCCTCCTGATGGGCCATGGTGGCATTGCATCATGCGCCGTGCCATGCCATGCAGCAAATGATGGTCGTGGGCATACGAGGAGGGCAAGAGAAGAATGAGCAAAGTGGGGGAGAGGGTAGAAGAACAGAGCAGGGTTGAAGGAGAATGAGGAAGAGAGGGATGTGATGTGAGGTGAGGAAGGAGGATAGAGGGTTCGGCAAGAGGAGAGGGAGATGGGAGGGGCGGGGAGGTAAGGGAGAAAGTAAGTTGCGGATAAATGAGTGAGAAAGGGAAGGGAGGGCGTGGGGATGACACACACTGCTTCCATTGTAGTAGCGAACTTGAACACTAGAACGAGTCACAATAACACGAGTCACACTACAACGAGCGAGTCACACTACAACGAGTCACACTATAACGAGTCCCGGTACCACGAGCACCATGAGGCGTCCCGGTACCATGAGCACCATGATCTTCTCTGCTGCCCTCTCAACGATGCCCGCCATGCCCCCCACCGCCCCCATGTCCTGGCTGGGTAGCTGCCTGCGCGCAGTCAGAGAGGAGTGAAGAGGAGTGGAGAGGAGAGGGGGAGGAGTGGAGGGGAGTGAAGGGAAAGTGGAGCGGTTCCCGGGTATGTTCACCACCAATTTACATCAGCGCCATAACCTGTGCTACCATCATCACCCGGATATAAGACAGTGTTGAATAGTAGACAGGGGTTGTCTATTATACGGGTGTCTCTTATAAACAGGCTAGCCTCATTATAAGACACCTATTTGTGTGTACGAGATAAGACATATGTGTCTTATAATCGAAACTGCAATATATTATAGTGAAAATTGAAGTACCGCGTACATTTTTACCATTGCGACACGCGAATTCTGCCACGTGCTGACTCGCGTACTACCAAATTTGCCTTTGCAAGTATTCTCCATGACGTGGCAACCCGAACAATGGTTGCCGAAGTGGCACCTTCGCAACATCCACACTCATAATGAGAAACTCTTTTCAAGATGTGTGAAAATATTTCTAAGTAGTTTAAAAAAGTTTCCATTTATAAGACTTATAAGACACCCAAAACCTCCCCAAATACAAGATAACCCAAGCATTTTTTTTAGTGTATGAGATAAGACATATATGTCTTATATCCGGGCGATGACGGTACATAATCCATCCCTCATCGTCTGTACTCGATATGATTATACTCGCTATAAACACGCGACGCCTGGACTCACTTCAGCTGCACCAATCGGTTCACGACAGCTGTCGCCGCGCGCAGCCCGTCCGCCGAGGCGGCGTCCCACTGCTTCCGCGCGCCAGTCGCGGCGGAGAACGCGGAGCGCACGCGGCGCTGCCAGCGGCGCCGCCAGAGATGGAAGGGGAGCGGCGGAAGGGGTTGGGCGGAAGGGGGAGGCGCGGAGAGGGGAGGCGCGAAAGGGGGAGGTGCGGAAGGGGGGGATGCGGGTTTAGCTGGCAGCGGCGGAGTCCATAACCCCGCGCGCACCGGAGGCGCGGAGGCCATAGGGAGGGCGAAAGGGCAGTTGTGGCGCCAGAAAACGCGTAGCGCGGAAGGCGGAAGAACAGCCGCAAAGAATGGTCAGGTGCCGGAGAAGTGCTGGGAGGAAAGCAGGGAGTTGCCACGGCGAACGGATGATAGGTGGTATGCTACGGCGCGGTGCGTTACAGGGAGACAACAGAAGCACATAGTTCGCTAACCGGGTAACCGCATGCCAATCCTTCAGTCCTTGCTGTAGTGGTCTCACCTCCTCATGCTTCCGCTCACCGCCCGCCTTCATCCCTCTCTCCTTCCCCCCATCTCACCACACAGCTCTTCGTTGCGCAAGCCAAGTTCGGCGCCTCGTTATGCAGCAAGCGCTACACAGTCAAGTCAGGCGACACGTGTGCGGCCATAATTTACAAGTACTTCCGCGGGAAGACCTCGTACGTCAGCAAGCTCAACAACGGCTTCGTCTGCACCTCCTGCTCGCTCTACGTCGGCCAATCCCTCTGCGTCTACAACCTGTGACCATTACTGCACGGCTGAGTGCTGGTTGGTAGCGGCTCAGGTGAGTGCATACCATGTCACCAAGCTCAATAGCGGCTTGGGCTATGTGTGTTGCTCTTGAATGCTCCACTTTGGGCTCTTCTGCAAATATTTCGGTACCTGTAACTGTAGCCGCTTAGTGTAGAAATTTATTTGAACAATGTGTAATTATAAGCTTGCAGACATGCTTCAATGTTTTGCACATGAGAACCGTGGAAACTACCAGTACATACAAGCAGCATCCGCTCAAAACCTAATCACATCCGCTAGGACTGATCTGACGCCAACCCTCAGGAAACACTAGCATAGTGAAAGAATGAGGATTCTTCAGGAGAACACGACGACCTTCTCATCCGCGCCGTAGCGCACCCAGTTGCCTCCGAACGACCAGTTCTCGTACCCGCCATTGCCAAGATTCTCCACAGAGAAGGGGCCCTGCTTGTAATACACCTTGAACTCGGAGTTATCCCAGAAGTGCCACACCTCCACCTGCGCGGACGCCGGGTCGCCCTGCACGGAGTGGTCGCTCTGAATGACCATCACGTTGTATCCCGCGTTCATGAATATCTCCACGATCTTCGTCGTCACCTCGTCGTCCTCTGGACCGTCGATCGTGCCCAGGCTGCCGGCAATGATCTGATCGACGGTCACCCCGTCCCAGCTGAACAGCTTCCGCTCCACCCTGTGCGGGGATACCGCGGAATCCGTGCTGGTGTCGGAGGGGGAGGGGTGCAGGATAGGCCGCGCGGCGCTGGCGTTGGTGACGGCGAAGAGGAGCAGGGTGAGAGTGAGAGAGTGAGAGGAAGCAGCTTGCGAGCCGAGTGAAGCCGGGAGTTGGCCATTGATAGAACGGTTTCGATGGTCAGCCCTCAGTTGCACGATTGCCAGAGACAAAAAATCAGCGTTGGAAAGCTAACGGTACACGTCAATGCGAGTGGGAATCACACAGGAGGATTCAAATCTGTGAGCCGCGAGGTGCTTGGTATGCAAAATCGAAGGCAGGAAAGTGGAAACGGAGACAGAAGCTGTTATGATTGTGGTGAATCGCAGCGTCTAATTTATAGCCCTTGGCAGAGTTCGGAACTGGAGCTGGGCTCCGACGTGAAGGCGGACTGCGCCTCGATTGAGCCGCCATTGCCAATGTTTAGCGTACGGACTACGCTCGGACGTGATTGGCACGTGGAAAATGGAGTTCCTCGGGTCCGACTAGGCGGTTGGTGGAGGAAAAAGGGAAAAGCTAATGCGAGTTAGTCATGGAAGCGGCTGGCGGTAACGCAGTGAGGGTGGCGAGCTGAGGCGTGTCGAGGGGTGGAAGGGAAGGGTGGAAGGATAGGGGACAAATCTGGGCAGGGAGGGAGGTAGGTTGCTTCGCTGCAAGGGAGGGTCGGCCCGCCCGTTGGCGAAATCGTCGTTTGAAGCAATTTGGAGAAACGGGCGCGATGAGGTTCCAAGCTACACCGCGTACTTGACATTTTCACCAGAAGTAGAGATTAAGAAATTAACAAATTACTTTCAGCCATTCCAGCATCTACAAATTGTGCATGCACAGGGACTCAACGCCGTGACTCGTGGCAGAGCCCAGAGCCCATCTTTTACTCTCACGCACATGAAATGCATGGATTCGCGGTGGTGTCCTGGGATTCCCTACCGCTCCCCACCGCTCCACATCTACACGACAAACAGCAACCATAACCTTGTTTAGGGTACCTATAACGATGGAGGTTCAGCCCTTAGACGCCAGCGGGCTCAACAATGACTAAAGGCATTCAACGTTGTTTGTGGTAGTAACAAACAGTTTTA